GACAGTGAGAACTCAAAAATGTTAGGGATGCTATTGCGTGAGTACTATTGTCTTGGTTTGCATCAACGGCTGATAGTTCAAGACATCGCGATCACTGATTAGCCAAGCAAATCTGATAGTATTTCACTACAAAATGGTCAAACACATAAGGTACATATCCAGATGCGATAGTTTTTTTTATCTTGAACTCTCTTTAGCGTTTAGACAGTCATTTGCATTAATTTTCATTCATGTAGAACATTGTTGAAAATTTGTATATAAAATTGGTTTTGACCAATTCTTAATTATTTAAGTGGAAATTTTTATTTCATGAATTGAAAATTAAGTCAAATTTCATTCTATTAAATATGTGAATTATTGAAAAATTACATAGAATCTTATGGAATATTCTAGAAATTATTTTTGCTGAGAAGGTCTGTCTTTTTATATGGAAGATTGTGAATTTTGGCATTATTATTTTCTAATAGACTAATTCCAATAGTTGTGTATCTTTCATAGGTTGCGTCTTTTGAAACAAACATTTTCAACATCTTTATATAGACCACATGTATGGAAGTCTCATTCATTCATTTCTTTTATCATTATATTATCATGTTAATGCATATTCACTTTAAAATATTTTGAGCATTTATTTAGAGTCGAGTTTCATATAAAGAGAATTCAAAACATAAGTAGGTTCTTTAATCAACATAATTTGGAGTGTTCCTATTATGAAATGTCATCGTTGTATCTTGGGAGACCAATGTCGGAAAACTGTTAGCACTCTTGTGGGGGCATTATTATCTTAAGAAGAAAGAATCGAACACTTGGCTTGACAAATTCATATTCATGCATTTCTCGTTTTTATTTTATGTATTCGATTTACAAAGTTACTTTTATATATCTTACTTGTAAGTAAACTTTTTAAGCTTAGCTAGACATGCTATAGAAATTTACACATTGAAAGTTTTGCATAAAGAAAACCATAAAAACTATCATTTCAGCTCAACGGACACTTTCATAAAAATTGAAAAACTAATTAAATAGCCAAAAGTTTTAAAGGATTTAACATGCTATTCGCCACCCCAAAATTTTTACATTTCTCAACATAGAATCCATATCCAAAAGAATAACAATGTTTCAGTAATCATATCTTTGAGATCATTCAAAAGGTAGAGTAGAGTGAGAGGAATTTGATGACAAGAAGCTCGTTTTTATCTTTCATATCATATGTGGGCTGCAAACAATCATTCAAAAGGTAGAGTAGAGTGAGAGGAATTTGAGAGGGTTTACCGGATCATGAATTATTTCTTTTCAAAATAAACTCGTAGATAAAATCAAACATCTCAAGCACACCAATGGGCGGGGGCCGCTTGTTAAGTGTTACTCAATTGAATGACAGTCTGTTTCAAGACCAAATGGAAACATATGATCCTAAATTGGTTAATCAAATGTTTGTTTTTGCAGCCATATTGAATTGTCTTTTTTGAATTGTATATAGGAAACAGTTGCTAACTTGCTATATTCTAATATCTGGCTCTTACAATTAAACACTCGAGATAGTTCAAGATAATGAGGACATTTCACTTACAAACTAGGATCTCATTGTTTTATCCACACATAATTTGATCGCACTTTATTATGATTCTCAATGACGAAGATTTGCATATCGATCAATTATTAGACACCAAGAAAGATCTTCACGAAATTGTGTACATGATTGCATTAAAATACAACTTTAATCCATAGTAGGTAAATCAAATAGGACTATGTAAATAATTATTTATGCAAATGACAATTGCAAGGGACGCTTGTGAGCAAAGAAGTTTGATAGCTGAATCCTTTGTAGTTTATCATTATGCATGCGAACGAACTTGCCCATTAGGTATTCATTGCAATGATCACAGACAAGCAAGATCATTTGGCCATTGGAAGATATATAATGTACAAGTTTCATGATTTAATGATAATTTACTTCGCAGACATTTGTGGGAGTTTGGAATAGTTATGAGCTATCAAAAAACTTTAAAGACTAAAAAATTCACGTTGTAGGATTTAATGAGTTCTTCAAGGAAAGTTATGTTAAACTGATCGAGTATTGCACATCACGGAGAGAACCAATCCAGTTTAGTGTTCTTTTTTAAGACTGATATCAACAACCGCTTCAAATACTTGTTTATGACTCTAAAACTATGCACAATGGCAGAGCCAATATCCAGTAAGCAACAGTGGCCGCGCGTGCTGGCTCCATCAGTTGATTTTTTTGTTGTTTTCTTTTCTTTTTTTTTTTTTCCTTTGAAAAACAGACAAAAGCCCCAGCATGCTTGAGTTGAATTTTTTCTTACCAAATGTATTTGAACAAATGAAATTGAAATCAAACTTGAAGATTTCTTCCTAGTTCCATCAATCTTGCTCGACATCTCTTTCTTCTTCATTCAATGTTTTCCCATTTTTCTCTGGTTTTCCTTTTTTTTTTTTTTTTTTCCTTCTCATTGTCTCTTTCTCTCGCATTGGCTCTCTGGATAGTTCTAAAATGGTCAGGCAATGTATTGACTTAAAGACTTGAAATCAATAATGGTGGGCCCCACTGTGTTCCTTTATTATGCCAATACCCCAAATCTTCTTCATATATAATTACTAACCCATAAAATAATTGCAAGATAGCCCACAAAAATATCACTAACTCATTTAAATCCCTTATTTAACTTTGACTAAATTCTTTGTTATTGTCTTCTTGAAATTGGAAATTGTTGTTGCTAACTTATTGTTGGTGACGTCTCTGTTATAATTTGGGTTGTATTTGTTTATATTTTCATATATGTGTGATTTTTACTTTTTAATGCATTTATATATTGATTGAAGAATTTTTTTTTAATATTATTTAATTAAATATCAATAAACAATGACTGTGACGGTCAACATTCAAAGATCACCCTAGCTCATTTCAAATTCTGGATCCACCACTAACCATGCATTCAAGGATTTACCTTTTCAATGCGATGTTTAATTCTGGTCGATAGAATCTTCCAGAAAACTAATTATTGCTACATGTCAATGTACGAATAAATAATTTTATCCTTTTGCATTGGGTATAATCAATTTCAATAATAATGAATCAATGAATAGGTTCTTCGCAAAGTTGCAAAAAGTAACGATGGATGTGTGAGAACCTTGATTTTGTATCTAACTATCAATGATGTTTATTTAGATGCACACAAAGGAATAGCATGTCCCATATATAAGACACTCTAAAAAATTTAGTATGAGATCTTCGAGATCTCGTCTTTGTTTAGGAGAGAGAGGTAGAGACGTATGTTTTTGAAGAGTTCAATAAATATATGTGATTGATAGAGTAAATCACAGCATCATTAGAATATTTAGCCAATATTAGGGGGGTCTAATATTAGGTACGATTACATTTGACAAAAATTCGAGACAATATGATATCGTCAAACAATAGAGAGTTGTTGAACTTATTATTTAAGAAAGATTGAAAATTACCAATTACTACAATAATTGAGCAAATTTGCAATAAGTTCGATTTAAGTGTATTTTTTTTTATTGAATAATATGTGATTGAAAATGAATTTTGCTAAAAAAAAACGAAAAAAGAAAAAAAAGAAAAAAAAAGGAGAATTTTTGATGAAATGGGGCTCAAACAAGGGCTAATGTTTATAAACTTTTTTACAATTATTTGTAACATATGTTGTTAATACTCTAATTTCAAAATTGTTTGGTCCAATGTCAAGCACAATTTGATGTAATCACAGGCTACATAAAGAAAATAATTTGCTTGAATTTTCAGTTTTGGTTTATTTAATCTTGTGGTGCTATGACATACGGTACTTCACTTGAGTCCTAACTATTTAGTATGTAATGTTGTATTATGATACGTATTATGATATTTCCAATTATATATGAAATTTATTAATATGTTAAATCTTTCAATATTTTAGTCTAGCACAAAGTAATATTTGGACTTCACCTTGTGCATGATAGACATGATACTCAACAGTAAGCCCTTGTTTAAACCTCAACTCAAAAACTCAGGTCCTTTTTTGATTTGTATTTCGGTTTTCAATTTTGAGTTTTGAGTTCATTTTCTGTTTTCAACTCCTGTTATGATATTGTTAAAAACACGTTTGATTTGTCATTTTGAAAAAAATATTTCTCAAAATAGAAAACTAGAAAATACATTTGGATTGAAATTTTGATAAATTATTTTATAACATTTTATTCAACAAAATTTGATTATTCAAAGATAATATAACAATTTTTTATTAATATATTATCAAATAACATATACATTTTAAAGTTGGTGAATCATACAATATTTTATCTCACTCCAAAAGTAAAATAATAAATACTAAATCGAATTCAAAATATTGGAAATTAAAGTAAAAATTAATGACGTAGATTTGGAAAAATTTTATAATTTTTATTTTTCACAATTTTTATTTTTTTATCTTTTATTATTTTAGTTTTTTTTAGAATTTTAGATTTTATTTTTAGAATTTTATCAATTTTATTTTCTGAATTTATTTTTATTGAATTTTTTATTTCATTTTATTAAAAATCTAAAATTTTATTTGTATGCATTTATATTTATATTTTTTTAAAATAAAATTTTATTTAAATGTTTGTTTTCCACGTTTTGAATATTTTCAAAATTTTCACTAAAAACAATTAAAATGTCAAAATACTTTTTAAATTTTAGGGAAAATTGCAACAGAAGTCCCAAACCTATGGAACATTAGCATATTTTCCCCAAATTTTTGATTTGTTAAAGTCGTCACCCCTAACATATCCAAACGTTACAGGTAAAGCCCTTTTGGACGGTTTCCATCCATAATTCTGTTAGTTGACCAAAAATTTAACTTTGACCACATTTTTAATATTTTAAAAAGCGGTAAAAGAGTAAATTTTCATTTATCACATTAAATAAGAATTAAAAAAAAAAAACACAACCCTCTCTGGCTCTCTTCTTCTTCCTCCCACCCCACTCCACCCCCACCCCTACCTCAAATCCCAAATTCCACACCAACCACTGCCACCGCCATCGCCACCTCCACCTCTACCTCCACAAAAACACCACAGCAATCACAGCCTTTTTGATAAACATGAAAAATTAAAAATCAGAAGTTAAAAATAGAAATTTCAAGAAAGTCATTCAGTTAACCTTCAAATGAGGCTCAACCTCAACCCTCGCCACTCCTTCTTCCGCCACCTTAGCCACCTTAACTTTGCCAACTACCAAATTTTGCTCATCCTTACCCTCGGCCCTATCTTCTTCTTCTTCCACATAGTTCAGATCCTTCTCATCTATAGCAGGCGGTGGCGCATCTAGCTCCACCTCCTTCTCCGGACCTTCCCAAGTGTACTTTCCTCCATGCCCTTTCTTGGGATCATGCTTTAGTGGCAGCCAATCCGCTAGGTAGCGCTTTTGCCTTTGAAAGCCCTTGTCAATAAGTTTTCTTTCAACGTATTTTACTATGTCCACATTGTGTGTGGGTATCTCCACTTTCTCTACGTGCTTTTTGCCTTCATCCGCTCGGCACTCTGCCCAGATTGTGTGGTTCAGATCCTCCGATGGCAAGACTCCATTCCTGGTTCATCAAGCTATTCCCCGACTGTTGAGGTCTTAACCATGAATTTGATTTAAATTTAACTGTGTTCATACATAAATTGAGGTGGAGATTTCGTGGAGGTGGAGGTGGAGGTGGTGGTGGTGTGGTTAGAATTTGGGATTTGAGGTGGGGGTGGGGTGGGGTGG